ATTATATACTATTTAGTGTTTTCGTATTTTAATAGTATATTATATACTATTTAGTGTTTCCGTATTTTAATTTATATTTTAATTATATAGGTACACTTTGATGACTAGCTATTTATTTTTAAGAAACATCAAACTAAATGCTTAACATTATTTATTAGGCGTAGTAAACGTATAATAATAAATTAAAAAAGTGAGCAAATGGGTACCATCCAGCTGTACATTATACTATCCTGTGGTTTACTGGAATGTGAATGGTGTTAAACTTGAATTTGATGATATAATTATAATATCATTGTATACAAAATATATATATATTAAAATATTTTATATAAATTATTAAAAAAAACTGATTCTGAGTGTAGACGGTCTGCCAGGCAGCTAATATTATAATAAAACATTTAATTAGGTACAAAACAGTTACTAAAATCGTTATACTTCGTTTGAATATCTAATTTCATCTAAATTTGAATTTAAAATATCAAAAAAAGTATGTTCATCAATTTATTTTTAGATTTTTTGGTGACAGTATGAACAATTTATGAGAAACCTTGTTTTACATTTTTAATCTTTTGCTATCAAAACTGGACATTTTATAAATTTGTAACTCAAAATAATTTACAAATTTTCTAGATTTTGATGAATTTTGTCAAATTTTGAACTTTAAATGCTTGTAAAAAATCGTCTCTATGTATATTTAATATTTTTAACTTTTATAATATTATGAAATATTATAACTACTTATGAGGAACTTTGAATTAAATGTTCAAGTTTTTTGACAGAGTGAAACATTTTTTATTGTAAATTATATTTTCATATGCCTTTAAATATCTCAAAAAGAGTTAAAAATATTTTGAAAATAGCACTGTGAATAAAAAAATCTAACATCTAAGTTTGATGACAAAAATAAATTGTAGTAGGTATTTCTTATGAATACAAATAAAGACAAATAACACGAAATGCGAATAGTATCAAATAAATGTTATATTATTATAGATAAAATAAATATGATTTCTATTATGAAGAAAATAAAAATTATGTTGGTCTTTGTTAGTAAATTGATCAACATTTTATTTTTAACTCTTATAATTATCAATTATATTAATGAATAATGATGAAATATTGAAATACAATTATTTTAAAAACAAAAAAAAAATACTAATTAATTTAGATAAAAATAGTTTTGTGAGAATAGATAAGACATAACTCATAAAATAAGCATAGATTCATTCTATTTATACACTGCTTCCTAATAAGTCATAATAATATGTTAATCTAAACATCACTTAATCGTTGTACACAATCGAAAATTCGAATAATTTTTGTTTAAATATAGATAAGTTAATTTTTAATGAACTGTTAACACTAACTGATATTATAATGTATTCATTAAATGCACCTAATGTAGGTAACCTACAACGAATTTTCTAGTTAATTCTGATTGCAGCCAGAAGTTCATCAACTTGACTCTCAACCTACCAATGTATCATTCATTCATACATCTGATGTTTGTTAATAATTTGATTTTTAACATTTTTTTTTAAATTTTCAAAATTAAAATCGGAACTTGGAAGTTATCATATTTTGTTTTATAAAATTACTATAATAGGTATTTTCCTCCCAAAACACATATCTATAGCCCATTGGTATAGTACCAATAATACCTATTATGATTCTGTTAGATTCCAAAATAGTAACTACAAAAAAAATTGGCATTTAACACATTATTAACCTATAGTAGGTACAAGATTTTGCAAGTTATTGAAATTTTTTTAACTGAATTAAGTTGATAGAAAAAATAAAAAAGTTTAAAGTTAATAGTTAACTGGTTTGTTTTAACTTGGTTAGAAACCAACAATTAACTTATACTTAAGTTAAGTTATTTTAACTTAAATATGTTTTTGGGCTGGGTCAGATATTTTATACCGATTTTTTCTTATGCTTTGTTATCACAAAATGATAAAATGTAAAAAAGAATTAAAAATATTTGCCCTTATGGTAAAATAATAAGTTATTTTTATTGAAAAATTCTGGCTAATGACGACGAGAAGTAAATTAAAGATTCTAATTTTTATTTCTTATTAAGCAAACATCACGAATAATCATTTTATTAAAATGTATATGTTACGGTATTTAATTATGTATAAGTTAACGAATATTGGTTTTAATTGAAAATAATGTGTTATTTTAGATTCTGAGAGAAAAGAATTTATATTTGCATTTTCCATACGGTAACATTTTCAAACAATTTGGACTTTTTATATGCTATATTTTTATTAATTTTTTTTAACTATTAAATTTGATTATTTATACAAGTATGGTAAATCGACACAACGTCTCTGATCAGACTCGTTTTTCGTATACAATGATTTATCGTTGAATTCAAATATAACACAACCATTACAACGACTTGTTTGACAACTATACTGATCAGCAGATCGGTATCCACTTGTGAACTTGTCCACCTTTTTTAATGTTGATACCTATAAAATCAATTAAGTTACAAATTAAGTAAGCCAAAATAATCACAAAAAAGTTAAGTTAAGAATGTAAAATTAATTTAACTTTTTTACTCGTTTATTGTTACTGGCCGATCATTTTAAAATTTTTTTTTTAATTTTTTGTAAAAATTATAATTATTTCTTAATTTTTTTAATACACTAGTTATATAATTATTATGTACCTACCTATAGTTAACTGAACTCTACACAGAATCATCTGTATGTGTATTTAACCACTTCGAATTTGGTGTATAATATGAGATAATAAGAATAATAACAATTATAGTTATGTTGATATACGTTCATACACGGTTAATATACGTTCATCAATTTATTGGTTTATTTATTTACAATTTACTGCTTAAATACATTATATACTATATTACTATGCTGTGTCCCCACATTCATTCGTCGTGACTTTAGTTGCCAAGGTGATAGTTAGAAAACAATATCATTGTTGATTTTATAATGAAAATATTACTATTTATTTAACAATATTTTGTATTTATTTTTATCGAATATATTCTATATTTGACTATGAGTTTTAAAAATATATATATAATTCATAATAAAAAAAATTACATTTAATTAATTAAAATAAAACTATTGTATTTTTTATATACCATTGCATGTAAAAATAATTCAAAGAAATTAGAGTAGGCGACTTAAATAATATAATTTCATCAGTCACTCCATTTATTTCTTATAATGAATGTTTGTTTCATAATCAACAATTTTAGATTATCAACTATAAATAATACAATTTATTTAATGGGTGCTATTAAATATCGTATTTTATCGTATTAAATTTTTTGCTATCTTATCATATACATTTTTCTAGTTTTGCTGTGCGAGATAACGAGATGAAAATACCATTGAGATCACTAGATAGTCTTTGCAGGGAACTAGGTTCGTATTAAAATTATCAAATTTCCAGATAGAATGACTATAGTTCGACTGATACTAGCTATAGTATATTATAATAGTCTACCTATATAATAATTATATCATTTTCAAAAATACGATTATTTTAATAAACCCATTTTAATTGTTGTTTCATATTTGGTTAAAATATTATTTAAATGGTTTCATTGCTAGGACAATAATAAAATAATAAACATTTGCTTAGCGTTCAATGACTTGGTATACTTGAACTATATTGAAGTACATTACATTTGTATTGGAACAATTACTACAATTAATGTTTTATTTAGAGTTTGCGTTGTAACAGATGTAAGAATTTGCATATTGAATAAATTGGTAGGTATACATTTTTAGCAATTCATGAATACTCTTGAAGGTTAACAGCTTAAATTTAATATTACGCTTACGAACTACGAAGGTATGTATAATAATAAAAATTTGTTAAGAAAGTAATTAATTAGTAACTTTGCTATAGGAGGTACCTATTCATCAACATTTATGATAATATTATGTAAAATTCGTATTATTTTTAATCATATTTTGTTGTGTTTTATTTATAATTGTTTATACAAATGTTTACGAGTAATCGCTAGCGATTAATGATTTTACGCCACACAAATGTATTTGCACACACTCCCTAATATCGGAAATATTTTATTTGCCTATTGGTTCTCCTATGCGTTCCTATGTAGATGCCAGGTGAGTACCTTAGTTGATATATTATAGTAATTTATGTAATATAACCTCGAAATAACGGGAATAATCTGAATCATATTATGCCATTATGGACATTGTCTTTCTATTTCAACGAAGTCCACTTTAAAGAGGCTGTACTAAAATTGAAACAGTGGCCTTCTGGCTTGTGTCGTTGAGTTTGTGAATAAGTCAACACTGAGGTTTACGGTATCACTTGTCTGTTTATTTCCGTGGTAATTATAATTATTTACAATGCAAACGTAATTGCGGGGCAGTTACGCTAACTCGGCAGCCGGGCGTATAGCGGGCTTGCCGGATACGACGTACGGACACGACGCACTATGAGTTACGTCCTACGACACATCAGCGTCTTATTATGTACAAAGGGATACAATTTAGGGTACGGGGTCAACCACGGATAGTGTCCTGCTATTAAGCGACTGCTATCGTGAATCCGATCCGGGAAGGCAGGCTCTCAAAAGCGGCCGGGGGGACAGTGGGTTTTTAGACGTGGCTTGTGCCGCGTCGAGTGGCAGCGCCCCTGGATCAGGAGCTCTGTTCACCGCCCTCCTCGCGTTCTCCTTCTTGGAACAATCCGAGGGTTGCTGGGTGTGCCTCCGGGCCTTGGCCAACGCTTCACGGATCGCTTCCTGGGGGTTGGTGGCAACTTTCGATGACTATCAGTACGTAGGGGACGGCTTACTGTCCAAGCCAATCGTCCGTCGGCCTTGGTCGGTGAACATTCCGTCGACTCGTACACACTGAGTGAGGCGATGCCCATATGGGTTGCTCACGGGTGTGTACGAGGAAGTGCTTTCTGGGCGCCGGTCGACGGCTCCTTTAAGCTGGTCACAGCGTCGACTCGTACGAGATGGTGTGGCGATGCCCTTATGGGTTGCTCACGGTCTTGTACTAGGAGTCAGGATCGTTATGGGTCTGCTTTGGTGGTCACGGCTGTTCTATGCCGTCGCAATCCCGTACAAACGTAGGTGCGGCCATGCCCGAACGGGTTGCTCACGGATTCTTCGTCGGTCGTTTTCGCCGGTGGTGTCTTCGTGTTGCGTCTCGTGGGAGATCGCTTCGGTGGTCCTTCCGTTCTTCTATTCTTCGAACTGCGTTGAATGTTTGATTGAAGAAATTATACTGAGTGAAGAAGGTGGTTTTCGGTTATGATACGGCTGGTATATAACCCGTGCGCCGCACCGACTAATAAACTACTGCGCATTGGCCGCCGTGTTGTTTGTGTTTATGGTCGGTAATATGGATTTTGGTGTTGTTCGTTGGTTTTTTGGGTTACCGCCGTGGGGAGGGTATTGTTTTCTTACTCCTTAGGTCATTGTTGTATCTCAGAGGGCTTTTATTTAGTGAAAGGTCTCTGACTACTGTTATTTTGTGTATGGTGCGTCCTGATTGGTTGATTCGTGTTAGTCCTGAAAAGGACTATTTTGATGAATGATGTACCGTTACAGAATATATCTTTATAATATGAGGTATACAATCTGTGAGTAAACATTTTTTTTTAAATTATAATGAGAGAACTACAAGGAATAATAGACCGAATCTATACATATATTGGTGTATACCAATTAATTAATGTTCATGATTGTAACTGGATTTTATGAAGTTTATGTTTTACAAATAATTTTTATTTTATTTAATGCACTTCCCATTTAGATTCAGAGCGGAGTGATGAATTAATTAATTTACAATAATGTGTTTTTCCTGTCCATCGTCATATTTAGGAGCAATAAAAAAGCTTCAATTTTTAATTTTGAGAGTGGTTTCTGGTAGCAAATTATATCCAGCTGGTATTTTGAGTTAAGGTTCAAAAAAAAAAAGTAAATGTCTAAGAAGTTTCTTAAATAACCCGGAAAAACTGAAACTGGATAAACTAGTTTTCTACAAAATAGATTGTGTATTTTTATTGTAACTCAAAATAAATAACTGGAGAAAATTGGAATTTTCACAAAATATTCATATATTAATATTTAATAAATATTAATAATTTTCAAAATATCTTGGCTCTTATTGTAAGCATTTAAAATTTTTGACTTTATAGTTTTTTTTAATTTATATGTAGGTACTTACTTGTATAATACAACTTTTTTCAGGTAAAAAAAGCTTTGAAAATGTAATACAAGAATCCTCAATAGTTGCTTATATATCGATTAAATATAATATTGAAAATACATTATCACAATATTTTTTTTTGAAAGCTTTTAACGTTAAAATATTTACAAAATTCATAGAAATCAGTAAAATATGAAAATTATTTTGTAGCATACAATTCGTAAAAATTTTAACATTCATATCTAAGATTTGAAAATTTAATAAGAGGTCCCATATAGGTTTTTCTTACAATAATACTAGAAAAAAAAATTGAAATAAATATTTTTTATTAGCGTCTGAAGTTTATATTTTGACGAAATTGGATATTCACACGTAAAATAACGATGTCTTATCTATCATAACGGTTATAGTTTTTTTTGTTGTAATTGTAGAAACATGAAACATTCCAGTGTTCTTAAATTATCATTTCTTATACTAAATTATTAGGTCAGGTAAACTCCGACTCAATGAAACCGTTTATGGTGATATCTCAGAAAGTATTTGAGTATATGAGTATTATATAATAATTGTCTTCCTATTGCCCGCAGGGGTCGCTGTAAATTGCGTCCCGTTTCAAATTTTTTATGTAAATTGCGGCCCGGGTAAATTATATACATACGTAAATTGCGGCCCGGGTATATTATATACATACGTAAATTGCGGCCAATTATATTTGTATATTTTAATATATTTGCCTACTTAAATATTTGTCATTGTTATGTAAATTACAAAATCAATATTTTCCTTCCCATTTTTCAGACTTAGGACTGGCAATATAATTGTATTCATATTGGTATGGTTAAAAATATTGGTTTTGCTGTTTTGTTTATAATTAAAAATAAGTAAAAATGTGTATAGTGAAAAAAATAGTATTATGAAAATTCGAATTAATATACTGGTAAAAACTTATAAGATAATTCCCGCACATAGTCTAACTGAGTAATATTTTTTGCTTGCAATTCATACATTTTGTCATGTATAAATGATTCTTTATCAGTCATTTTTTTGCTTTTTGTTCCCTGACTTCTTAATATAATATACGTATCACATTGCATGTTTTTTAAAATTTCAATAAAATTAAATATATTTGGGTGTGACGAATTGAACGAACTATTTAATTTTTTATGAAATGATTCACAATTATTTGTAGTGGGCATCGTTGAGGATACAAATTCAGCCCATATCTGTGGTGGAAACTCCGCGTCGTCGGTTATATATGTTTCTAATATGTAGTCAGTAAATTGTACTATCCTATTATCTTGTGGTTGCAATGCCATTATATCAAACGCAAAACAATCTTCAACCACATCACAACTCAAAAAAGGAAGCCCAAAAAATAATTTTAAGAAATTACTTATATCGGTATTATTTCTTTTGTAATCATTACTTAATCCTAGCTGCTGTATTTTCCTGTACCAACTTTGACCAGGGTGAAACCTACACCCTTTTACTTCAATAGAAGGCCAAACATGTCTTGCAGCATTGTGAATAGCCTTTTCAAAATCGGCATATAACCGAATAGGATTAAATTGTAAGTCATTTTTTTTGCACTCTTTAACTAAATGATGAAAAGCTTGTAAATAACACTGTGTAGTCTTCGAAGGTAATAAAATATAAACGAGTGGAACATAAGACTGATTTATTGCACAGTGAACAGTAAATAATTGATGGTATAACTTTGGACAACTTTTGAATGTACCATCTACACATATAGTATCAGAATCGCATAGCACTTTTAAATTGCTTAATGTAGAGAAACCTACTATATTTGTTTCTTTACTATTTACTAGCAAAAAATTTTCATTTTTGTTTGTTTTGAATTCCATTTTGTCAAAAATATTATGTAATTCCAAAAAAGTGTCTGGTAATTTTGGTAGTATAGAAGCTCGAGCATTGTGTAAATTTCTTTTAATCAATTTTACGTCTTGTGTAGTTAAAGATTCGACATCAGCATTTTTTAACTCAGAATGAATAATTTTCGATGGCCTTGTAAAAATATCATCAACGGCTTTTCTTTTTAAATTATTATTAAGTTTTTGACGATTTATAATTTGTTCCGAAAGTTGTAGATGGTTATGATCTTTAAAGCTATCTATACATATACTATTATTATTAAATTTTAAAAAACACTTACAAGTTTTGACTGTACAACACCAACGTTGAATATCATTCTTCAGAAGTTTTTGAAAACGAAATTTAAAACCATTAACTATTTTCAACGTCTTATTTTTTTCACTTTTCATAACTTCCATTGTTATTAAATTTAAAAAAAAATACAAATACTAAACCAAATACCAAATACTGTAGACCAATGTAAAAACTCGTGCGAAATATTTCGATCAAATGCACACAGCACACTGGCGGCTAGTAATATTATATAGGTAAGTGAGCATCAAGTGATCTTATTGATCAATATTAAAGATAATAATATAACCAGCCGACCGGAAATCGGAATATCCCGGGCCGCAATTTACGTACATTTCAAATATACCCGGGCCGCAATTTACGTATGTATAAAATATACTCGGGCCGCAATTTACACAGTATATAACTATGACCTTTTTTGCGGGACGCAATTTACCGACTCCGGCCCGCAGTGGCGTTCTCAAGAATTTTCTATGGGGTGGTTCCTGAAAATAGTCATAATATTTACAAATTTTGTATTATTATGCTTATGCATTTATGTATTTTAACATTTTAGTGGACTGTACCTAGTGAGCTATATTTGGTATATCATATGAATATCAAAAGTAAAATAATGCAGCCATAAACTAAGCTTTTCGAAATTCATACTTTCATAATCATTATAAAACCATAATAATTTACCAAACATTTCAAAACACATACTGAAAGTTTCAGTCCATGATCTCTATCCATTATCTTTACCGTTTTACACTAGGTACTAACTACTTCTGTAACTAGTGAATTTATAGGATATTGTGCATTGCCAACAAGAATAAATCTTTTTCTTTTTAAAATTAATTTTATATTAACCTGTACATTTTTGTTTTGTATACTTGTTATGCTTATAATATAAACTTATCTGTACATGGAAACGCAGCCTGTTTTCGCGGCCCGCGACGCGGACGTTTCTTTAAAATATTTATTTAAATGACTCCATTTTGAATGAGATGGGTCACATATTACTTATTAGCTAAGTTAATAGTTAATAGTTATCCATATTTTTATTCAAAATTTCAAACAATAGGCACGATACAATATTTATTTATTTTTTTTTTTTTGATCCTTAATAGCCCGGCATTTATGGCCATTAGCTGTTAGTAGAGTTGTATTGTGGTGGTGGTAGGGTTTTGAAGTGGTGGGTTTCTACACGTGAGGGTTGATACAATATTGTAAGAAAGTAATATTAACAGTATAAGTAGGTAGTATAACATTTCCGTCTATAATATAGTTATACAATATTTTCTGTGAATATGCAATACCTAGGTATAATAACTGTTATTATAAATTATTATTTAGTAATTAATATATAATTTAATATTTCGGATTCTTTTTTTTATAAAATTGAATTTATTTTAAGCCTGTGGCTTAGGAAAAAATTTAACTTAACGTGGCAATAAAATTAATTAACTCGTAAGTTACTGAATAACATAAGAAAAAAAAGTAACTCGATAATTAACTTAGTTAAAAGTAACTTAACTTTTTAACTTAACTTTAACTTATTAACTCGTTAATTCCCAGCCTTGCTTTTTGGACTACAAATAAAATTTTATTGATTTTTATAGAAAAAAAAAACTAAAAAATTTGAAATTTGAAATTTCCGTAAACAGCTCAAAACAAGTCAAAATATTTTGAAAATTTATCAAGTATATAGTCGTATAGGAATCGAAAAAATAAACATATTATAAATTGTGCCTATGGATTTTTAATATTTTTCAAATTTCATTGTAACAGTTTATTAAGAGCCTTATATTAAAATTTCAAGCTTTTTTACAGAACAAATAAAATTTTATTGACATTCATAAAAAAAAAAAAACAAACAAAATTGGAAACCGAAAATTTCCTTAAACAGTTCAAAGTAAATCCAAATAATATTAATAATT